TCGTCGCGGCACCTTGGGGGCCCGCGCGCCGCCCCCTCCCGTCGCCTCGTCGCGGCACCTTGGGGGCCCGCGCGCCGCCCCCTCCCGTCGCCTCGTCGCGGCGCCTTGGGGCCTGCGCGCGGCCCCTCCTGTCGCCGGTCGAGCCGCCCTCGGGGGCCCGTGCGCGGCCCCCCTCCCGTCACCCGCCGTGGCGCCCTCGGGGGGCCCGCGCCCTGCTTCTTCGTGGCGCCCAGGAGACACCCAGCCGCCCCTGCTGTTCCCGCGCTCCTGCCTGCGTTAGGGTTTGGGGGTGGCGGGCATGGGGGTGACCGGTGTGGGTAACCTGCAGCTCCTCCTCCTCCTCCGTCTCCCACTGCTGCAGCTGCCGCTGAGGGGGGTGGGTGTGTGGGAGCCGAGGGTTTAGGGTTTAAGGGGGGGTAGGGTGGGGTGACGTGGGAGTGGAGCTAGGGGTGCAGCAGGGGGTGTGTGGAAAGGAGGTGGGACTGTTTGGGGAGGCTGAGAGGAGGCCGCCGTCGTGTCGTGTGCAGCGCCTGTAGTCCGGAGCCGTCGTGCTCTCGGTAGCCCAGAGAGCCTTGCTGTGCCAGTCGCCTGTGGGTCCGTTGCTCCTGCCGCTCGTCGTAGCCGCGGAGCCAGATACTCCCGTAGTCCGGTGCCCTCGTGCGCTCGGTAGCCACTGTGCCAGTCCTCCTGTTGCCCGTGTGTCTGCAGCTTCAGCCGTCGTCTCCCATCTTCCCTCCCTTCACAATTCCTCCTCCTCCTCACTTGCCCTCGGTGATCGCCTCTAGCTTTGCTTATAATTGTGAACTATTACTATGTCTGCTCATTGTGCTGATTACACCCCACTTTGGCTATGGGGGTGTGTCTGTGTAATGTTATTATCTAGCCTGTAGTGGGGTGCTCTATAACGAGTACAACCCAGTTAGGGTTTGCTATATGTACCCCAACTGCTGCTAGTGAAACCTCTCTTTCGTCATTCTTGGCTAGTGATTCTGTCAGGGGGGGGCACGCCAAGGCTAGAGACGACCTAAGTCTAGGAACGGCGGAGACTGGGTGTGGCCTAGGAACGGCGAACCTACTGCTGATACCATCTCATGAACTGAAAACAGCGGAATGAGTTGCATTGAGTGGATTGGGGTACATATTCCTAACCCTAACTGTTTGTACCCCCTACTGCACAACCCACTAACGGCTAGAACATTTGACAGACGGCTCCCCTTCCATACATCCCGACCTCCGCATCTCCTGGCTCCTTGGAAATCCATTTCGTCACCCTTAACCTGCTCTAGGCTCCCCACAGAGTGCTCCCCAGCGACGCTGGTGGCTGTCCGCTAAAATAGGGGAATAACGTGTTCAACACGTACGCCAAACAGTTGTTGGCCGGTGCAGCCATATTCTTAGCTCCTCTGTGGTTATTTTGTAAATGATTAAGATCATAATATATTCTATTCCTATTCCTCGTACGCCGCCACCAATCAACAACGGCCTCTGTTAGGGGGGATTTACTGTTCATTCCGAACAGTACTTTCCAAGTCACCCTTATCCTTATCTTCTCAGATTCTCTAGTGCCACGTGGCACTCTACTTTTCTTGCACTACAATTCTTGGTCCCACAATCCACTTTCCAACCTTGTTTCTTGCATGCTTTATAAACCTTGCTTGTACTTGGCATTATCAACCAATTCTCATTCAACTCTTCTTCAATTACTCAGTAACTCCTTCGCCTATTTCGCTAGTAGTTCTTTCGCCAAAGTCTTCCGCCGCGCTTCATCCTCGACTTAGTCGACCCCGCTAATTCTTTAGCGGATTTAGGCCAGCGGGCCTAACAGCCTCCCTGGGCGGGAGGCATGCTTTAGCCAACCTGGCAATTCAGAGTGCGCCCAAGGTGACACAATCGAGAGCTGCTCTTGCCTCGCCATGCGTACCTCGATATTCCACACCTCCCTTCGATATTCCGCCTTCCCACGCCTCGCTCCCTACCTACGTCCCCCCATGCCCACCAGCGTGTGAGTCTCTGCTCCAAGCCTAGCCTTGGTCCTGCCACACCAACCACGCACACGCGTTTGCCTGTCCACTCCATTCCGTGCCGCTCCCCGCCGCCACCACCATATCTCATCGCCGTGCGCCAGCCTTCCTCGCTCGCCCCGAATCTGCAGAACCTAGGCCTCGCGAGAATTCCTAGGCCTCTGTCGCTCAGCTGCTGCGGACAGCACGGCGAGCTCGCCGCGCTTTTCTTATCAATTGGTCGCCGTCCGCAACGCGCATCCGCACCGCACGCTGCGACGAGTTCCATCGGAGTTCGCGCCGTGCTGCCCGCGTGCTCGCGCCGTCTCGATCCCACATTCGCTCTCCCCCCACGCGTGCCCACCTCGCGTGCGATCAGCTGTTTCCCTACCGACCGGCATCAGGCGGCCGTGCGGATCGCGATCGCGCGGGAATGGGGGGAGGCGGCGGCAGCGGGGAGGTGGTGGTGGACGGGAAGCGGATGTACGTACCCGTTTATGGCATTCTCGCTAGCAGCGCCATATCCGCGTGCTTCGCCGAGGTGAGATCCGCGGCGCCCCTCGCCGCTCTGCCTCCCTCCGCCCGCTCGCATCGCGCGCTCGGCCCCGCAAGCTCACCATTTGCTCATTTCGATTTCCGTCACCCGCGTCGCCCTCCCTTCCGTTGGCGGCGTTGGGGTGAAGCGCGTGTCGAGTAGCCAGCAGCCGCGTGTCGAGTAGCCAGCAGCCGCGTGTCGAGTAGCCAGCAGCCGCGTGTCGAGTAGCCAGCAGCCGCGTGTCGAGTAGCCAGCAGCCTCGTGAGCCCATTTCTCCAATCTCCCCTTCCCCTCCCCACCACGCTCCCACCACGCTCCCCACCACGCTCCCCCCCCCCCCCCCCCCCTCCCGCGCAGTTCTGCACGCTGCCCATCGACACGGCCAAGGTGCGCCTGCAGCTGCAGGGCAAGGCGGCGGGCGGGGCGGGCGGGGCGGGGGGCGTGGTGAAGTACCGCGGGATGGTGGGGACAATGGGGACGATCGCGCGCGAGGAGGGGCTGTCGGCGTTGTGGAAGGGGCTCGTGCCGGGGCTGCACCGCCAGTGCGTCTATGGCGGCCTGCGCATCGGCCTCTACGACCCTGTGAGTGGGCCTCTACGATCCGGTGAGTGGGCCTCTACGACCCGGTGAGTGGGCCTCTACGACCCGGTGAGTGGGCCTCTACGACCCGGTGAGTGGGCCTCTACGACCCGGTGAGTGGGCCTCTACGACCCGGTGCGTCTCCATGCGCCCTCTGCCACCCTGAGCTTCCACGCGCTCTCTGCCACCCGGTGACCCGCGGGTGTGCTGCCGACTCTAGTGCCTGTCGATGCCAGCAGCACATGGCGAGCTGTCAGCATGGCGCATGACAGCAAGGTGCGCTGTGATGTCATGTGTTGAATGCCGCCTTGCACTCAACGCTCAACTCTCTGCGCTCCTTGCTGCTCCCGTCCCGTGCCCTCGGCCCCGTGTCCCTTTCCCTCTGCCACGTGCCCCCTTCCGTGGGGCGGGCAGGTGAAGGCACTGTTCGTGGGCAAGGACCACAGGGGCGACGTGCCGCTCACCATGAAGATCGCCGCCGCCCTCACCACAGGTGCCCCGCCTCCCTGCTCCCCGCCTCCCTGCTCCCTGCCTCCCTGCTCCCCGCCTCCCTGCTCCCCGCCTCCCTGCTCCCTGCCTCCCTGCTCCCCGCCTCCCTGCTCCCCGCCTCCCTGCTCCCCGCCTCCCTGCTCCCCGCCTCCCACTATTCCTGCTGCACTCTTCCCACTCCTGCTACACTGTGCTCGTCCATTGCCTGTGCTCACATGTTAAGCTCGTTTCTTTGAACGCCTCAACCCAACAACGACCTCCTTTCAAGTGCTTTCAATATCTCTTCACCATCCACCATCCACCATCCACCATCCACCATCCACCATCCACCATCCACCATCCACCATCCACCATCCACCATCCACCATCCACCATGCACCATGCACCATGCACCACGCACCATGCACCATGCACCATGCACCACGCACCATGCACCACCACCATGCACCATGCACCACCACCATGCACCATGCGTACGGCATGCACCACGCACCAGGCGCGGTGGGAATAGCGATCGCCAACCCCACGGATCTGGTGAAGGTGCGTCTGCAGTCGGAGGGGCGCCTGCCGCCCGGCACACCCAAGCGCTACTCGGGCGCTCTCAACGCCTACGCCACCATCGCCCGCCAGGTCAGATGCCACCACGCCCGCCAGGTCAGATGCCACCATCGCCCGCCAGGTCAGATGCCACCATCGCCCGCCAGGTCAGATGCCACCATCGCCCGCCAGGTCAGATGCCACCATCGCCCGCCAGGTCAGATGCCACCATCGCCCGCCAGGTCAGATGCCACCACGCCCGCCAGGTCAGATGCCACCATCGCCCGCCAGGTCAGATGCCATGCCACGACGCCTAGCAGGGATGGCAGGTGGAGTGTGGGGGAGATGGGAGAGGTGGCGTGGCGTGTAGGAGGGAGCAGCAAGGGGCTTGCTGTGTGTGTGGTGTGGTTCTCAGCCTCGTCTCCTTCATCTCTCATTCTGCGTCCACCATTGTCCTCCCTCGCATGCACGTCCCTCAAACTCTTCCCCAGTCTTAAGAGCTGAAATCTGAATGATCACGTTTCAGGGCACAGAAAGATTCAAAGCAGGAAATCAATAATCAGTCTTGTTCCTTTTGACTGCCACCGCTGCTGGCTTGGCGTGGCGTGGCATGGCATGGCATGGCATGGCACGGCATGGCATGGTGTGGCATGGCATGGTGTGGCATGGCACGGTGCGGCATGGCACGGTGTGGCATGGCACGGTGCGGCATGGCACGGTGCTGCATGCTGCATGGCAGGGGGTGTGGCAGCGCTGTGGACGGGTGTGGGGCCCAACATCGCGCGCAACGCCATCATCAACGCCGCTGAGCTCGCCAGCTACGACCAGATCAAGCAGGTAGGCGGTGTGAGCAGATGCAGATGAAGCATGTGTGCTGCACTTCGACATCTCTCTCATCTCTATCTCACGCTGCCCCCCCCTCTCCCTGCCGTGCCTCACCTGCCTCTCTCCTCCCTGCCGTGCCCTCACCTGCCTCTCTCCTCCCTGCCGTGCCCTCACCTGCCTCTCTCCTCCCTGCCGTGCCCTCACCTGCCTCTCTCCTCCCTGCCGTGCCCTCACCTGCCTCTCTCCTCCCTGCCGTGCCCTCACCTGCCTCTCTCCTCCCTGCCATGCCCTCACCTGCCTCTCTCCTCCTGCCGTGCCCTCACCTGCCTCTCTCCTCCCTGCCGTGCCCTCACCTGCCTCTCTCCTCCCTGCCGTGCCCTCACCTGCCTCTCTCCTCCCTGCCGTGCCCTCACCTGCCTCTCTCCTCCCTGCCGTGCCCTCACCTGCCTCTCTCCTCCCTGCCGTGCCCTCACCTGCCTCTCTCCTCCCTGCCGTGCCCTCACCTGCCCTCTCCTCCCTGCCGTGCCCTCACCTGCCTCTCTCCTCCCTGCCGTGCCCTCACCTGCCTCTCTCCTCCCTGCCGTGCCCTCACCTGCCTCTCTCCTCCCTGCCGTGCCCTCACCTGCCTCTCTCCTCCCTGCCGTGCCCTCACCTGCCTCTCTCCTCCCTGCCGTGCCCTCACCTGCCTCTCTCCTCCCTGCCGTGCCCTCACCTGCCTCTCTCCTCCCTGCCGTGCCCTCACCTGCCTCTCTCCTCCCTGCCGTGCCCTCACCTGCCTCTCTCCTCCCTGCCGTGCCCTCACCTGCCTCTCTCCTCCCTGCCGTGCCTCACCTGCCTCTCTCCTCCCTGCTGTGCCCTCACCTGCCTCTCTCCTCCCTGCCGTGCCCTCACCTGCCTCTCTCCTCCCTGCCGTGCCCTCACCTGCCTCTCTCCTCCCTGCCGTGCCCTCACCTGCCTCTCTCCTCCCTGCCGTGCCCTCACCTGCCTCTCTCCTCCCTGCCGTGCCCTCACCTGCCTCTCTCCTCCCTGCCGTGCCCTCACCTGCCTCTCTCCTCCCTGCCGTGCCCTCACCTGCCTCTCTCCTCCCTGCCGTGCCCTCACCTGCCTCTCTCCTCCCTGCCGTGCCCTCACCTGCCTCTCTCCTCCCTGCCGTGCCCTCACCTGCCTCTCTCCTCCCTGCCGTGCCCTCACCTGCCTCTCTCCTCCCTGCCGTGCCCTCACCTGCCTCTCTCCTCCCTGCCGTGCCCTCACCTGCCTCTCTCCTCCCTGCCGTGCCCTCACCTGCCTCTCTCCTCCCTGCCGTGCCCTCACCTGCCTCTCTCCTCCCTGCCGTGCCCTCACCTGCCTCTCTCCTCCCTGCCGTGCCCTCACCTGCCTCTCTCCTCCCTGCCGTGCCCTCACCTGCCTCTCTCCTCCCTGCCGTGCCCTCACCTGCCTCTCTCCCTCCCTGCCGTGCCCTCACCTGCCTCTCTCCTCCCTGCCGTGCCCTCACCTGCCTCTCTCCTCCCTGCGTGCCCTCACCTGCCTCTCTCCTCCCTGCTGTGCCCTCACCTGCCTCTCTCCTCCCTGCCGTGCCCTCACCTGCCTCTCTCCTCCCTGCCGTGCCCTCACCTGCCTCTCTCCTCCCTGCCGTGCCCTCACCTGCCTCTCTCCTCCCTGCCGTGCCCTCACCTGCCTCTCTCCTCCCTGCCGTGCCCTCACCTGCCTCTCTCCTCCCTGCCGTGCCCTCACCTGCCTCTCTCCTCCCTGCCGTGCCCTCACCTGCCTCTCTCCTCCCTGCCGTGCCCTCACCTGCCTCTCTCCTCCCTGCCGTGCCCTCACCTGCCTCTCTCCTCCCTGCCGTGCCCTCACCTGCCTCTCTCCTCCCTGCCGTGCCTCACCTGCCTCTCTCCTCCCTGCCGTGCCCTCACCTGCCTCTCTCCTCCCTGCCGTGCCCTCACCTGCCTCTCTCCTCCCTGCCGTGCCCTCACCTGCCTCTCTCCTCCCTGCCGTGCCCTCACCTGCCTCTCTCCTCCCTGCCGTGCCCTCACCTGCCTCTCTCCTCCCTGCCGTGCCCTCAACCTGCCTCTCTCCTCCCTGCCGTGCCCTCACCTGCCTCTCTCCTCCCCTGCCGTGCCCTCACTGCCTCTCTCTCCCTCCCTGCCGTGCCCTCACCTGCCTCTCTCCTCCCTGCCGTGCCCTCACCTGCCTCTCTCCTCCCTGCCGTGCCCTCACCTGCCTCTCCTCCCTGCCGTGCCCTCACCTGCCTCTCTCCTCCCTGCCGTGCCCTCACCTGCCTCTCTCCTCCCCCACCAGACGCTGCTCAAGGTACAGGGCTTCGGCGACAACGTGGTGACGCACCTCATCGCTGGGCTGGGCGCCGGTTTCACCTGCCTCTCTCCTCCCCCACCAGACGCTGCTCAAGGTACCGGGCTTCGGCGACAACGTGGTGACGCACCTCATCGCTGGGCTGGGCGCCGGTTTCTTCTTCTTCGCTGTCTGCATCGGCTCGCCCGTCGATGTGGTCCGTGCCGCCCCACCTGCCGCCCTACCTGCCGCCCCGCCTGCCGCCCCACCTGCCGCTCACCCCGCTGCCACTCATACTTCCTGCTGCACATCTCTTGCTGCTCACTCGTGCCCTCTCACTCGTGCCCTCTCACTTGTGCCCTCTCACTCGTGCCCTCTCACTCGTGCCCTCTCACTCGTGCCCTCTCACTCGTGCCCTCTCACTCGTGCCCTCTCACTCGTGCCCTCTCACTCGTGCCCTCTCACTCGTGCCCTCTCACTCGTGCCCTCTCACTCGTGCCCTCTCACCTCTCACTCGTGCCCTCTCACCGCACGCCTCTCTCAGTGCTCTCTCGTTTTAAAACATCCATCCCTTCTCCGCTCCTCCCCATACTCCCCTCCCCATCTCCCATACCCACTCCCCCCCACTTCCCACACTCCTCTCACCCTTCCCCATATTCCTCTCACCCTTCCCCATATTCCTCTCACCCTTCCCCATATTCCTCTCACCCTTCCCCATATTCCTCTCACCCTCCCCCATATTCCTCTCACCCTTCCCCATATTCCTCTCACCCTTCCCCATATTCCTCTCACCCTTCCCCATATTCCTCTCACCCTTCCCATATTCCTCTCACCCTTCCCCATATTCCTCTCACCCTTCCCCATATTCCTCTCACCCTTCCCATATTCCTCTCACCCTTCCCCGTATTCCTCTCACCCTTCCCGTATTCCTCTCTCGAGTCCTGCTGCGTTGTCGCACTGCTGCTGGCCCAATCATCTCAAATTTCTCCATTCATCTGATTGCCCAAACTTGCCCTCTATTCTACTCGGCGCCCTCCTCGTGCTGTCTCCTCGGCTGCCGTCGGCCCACCAGGTGAGTGCACGTGGCAGTGCCAGGGTCCGCTGCTCTTCTCGTCTGCTCATATCACTCTCTTCTCTTGTACCTAATCCCTTTGCCCTTCGCTCCCCCCCTGCCTCCCCACCACCTCCCCACTGGCGTGGGCGGGCAGGTGAAGTCGCGGGTGATGGGCGACAGCAGCGGGCAGTACAAGGGCACGCTCGACTGCTTCGTCAAGACTTTCCGCAACGACGTGCGTGCCACCGCCCCTGCTGCCCCTGCCACCCCTGCTGCTGCTGCTGCTGCTTCTGCTGCTGCTGCTGCTGCTGCTGCTGCTGCTGCTGCTGCTGCTGCTGGCTGCTGGCTTCTGTTGCTGCTGCTGCTGCTGCTGCTGCTGCTGCTGCTGCTGCTGCTGCTGCTGCTGCTGCTGCTGCTGCTGCTGCTGCTGCTGCTGCTGCTGCTGCTGCTGCTGCTGCTGCTGCGCTGCTGCTGCTGCTTGCTTGCTGCTGCTGCTGCTGCTGCTGCTGCTGCTGCTGCTGCTGCTGCTGCTTGCTGCTGCTGCTGCTGCTGCTGCTGCTGCTGCTGCTGCTGCTGCTGCTGCTGCTGCTGCTGCCTGCTGCTGCTGCTGCTGCTGCTGCTGCTGCTGCTGCTGCTGCTGCTGCTGCGGCTGCTGCTGCTGCTGCTGCTGCTGCTGCTGCTGCTGCTGCTTGCTGCTGCTGCTGCTGCTGCTGCTTGCTGCTGCTTCTGCTGCTGCTGCTGCTGCTGCTGCTGCTGCTGCTGCTGCTGCTGCTGCTGCTGCTGCTGCTGCTGCTGCTGCTGCTGCTGCTGGCTGCTGCTGCTGCTGCTGCTGCTCTGCTGCTGCTGCTGCTGCTGCTGTGCTGCTGCTGCTGCGGCTGCTGCTGCGCTGCTGGCTGCTGCTGCTGCTGCTGCGGCTGCTGCTGCTGCTGCTGCTGCTGCTGCTGTGCTGCTGCTGCTGCTGCTGCTGCTGCTGCTGCTGCTGCTGCTGCTGCTGCTGCTGCTGCTGCTGCTGCTGCTGCTGCTGCTGTGCTGCTGCTGCTGCTGCTGCTGCTGCTGCTGCTGCTGCTGCTGCCTGCTGCTGCTGCTGCTGCTGCTGCTGGCTGCTGCTGCTGCTTGCTGCTGCTGCTGCTGCTGCTGCTGCTTCTGCTGGTGCTGCTGCTGCTGCTGGTGCTGCTGCTGCTGCTGCTGCTGCTGCTGCTGCTGCTGCTGCTGCTGCTGCTGCTGCTGCTGCTGCTGCTGCTGCTGCTGCTGCTGCTGGCTGCTGCTGCTGCTGCTGCTGCTGCTGCTGCTGCTGCTGCTGCTGCTGCTGCTGCTGCTGCTGCTGCTGCTGCTGCTGCTGCTGCTGCTGCTGCCTTTGCTGCTGCTGCTGCTGCTGCTGCTGCTGCTTGCTGCTGCTGCTGCTGCTGCTGCTGCTGCTGCTGCTGCTGCTGCTGCTGCTGCTCTGCTGCTGCTGCTGCCTGCTGCTGCTGCTGCTGCTGCTGCTGCTGCTGCTGCTTGCTGCTGCTGCTGCTGCTGCTGCTGCTGCTGCTGCTTCTGCTGCTGCTGCTGCTGTTGCTGCTGCTGCTGCTGCTGCTGCTGCTGCTGCTGCTGCTTCTGCTGCTGCTGCTGCTGCTGCTGCTGCGCTGCTGCTGCTGCTGCTGGCTGCTGCTGCTGCTGCTGCTGCTGCTGCTGCTGCTGCTGCTGCTGCTGCTGCTGCTGCTGCTGCGCTGCTGCTGCTGCTGCTGCTGCTGCTGCTGCTGCTGCTGCTGCTGCTGCTGCTGCTGCTAGCCCGATTTGCGCACGCTCTCCCCCGTCCTCTTTCAAGTGCTCCTTCCATGTGTGAGCGTGCTGCAGGGCCACCAGGTGAGCGTGCTGCAGGGCCACCAGGTGAGCGTGCTGCAGGGCCACCAGGTGAGCGTGCTGCAGGCCACACAGGTGAGCGTGCTGCAGGGCCACCAGGTGAGCGTGCTTTAGTGCCACTCAGGAGTAGATGCAGGCTGAGAGGCACCAGAGTGGTGAAAACAGAGCCCACATGGATGACAGCGCGTCCACCGGCTCAGGTGAGCAGTGGCTGCGAGAGCCCCTCTCAGCCCAGAAGCTGCTTGCTCTTCCGTGTCTGTGCGTCTGCGTGGTGTCGTGCCTGCTGTCTCCACCGCACAAGTCCATGCAGACTCTCATGCAATCATGGCTCTCATGCAACCATGTGCGAGTGGCATGTAACACGTGTAGGCTGTGGCATGTGCAGCACCTCTCCAATGCCAACGGTATGCTGCATGTGTTCCGTCTTGCCACCCCCTCCCCCCTCGCCCCCTCCACCCCCCAGGGCGTGCTGGCGTTCTACAAGGGTTTCATCCCCAACTTCGGCCGCCTGGGCTCGTGGAATGTCATCATGTTCCTCACCCTCGAGCAGGTGCCTCTGCCCCCACCTCCACGCGCTGCTCTCCTTGCCATGCACCGCACATTCATGCCCTCCAGCTCACTGCCCACGCGCACTCTACTCACATGCACTCGGAACTCCTTACTTGCGTGCACTCTGCGTTCAGTCCACCCACGTTCTGCACCCATCTGTTCTGTGCTCGTAGCTGCCCCCCTCCTGTGCCCCGGCCCCCCTCCTGTGCCCCGGACGGCTGTGAGTCCGTGCATGCTTGCTGCTTGCCATGTGCCACAATCGCTCTCTCCACTGCTCGATCGCATGGCTGCAGGTGAAGAAGAACTTTCTTACACAAGTGCCTGACCAATAGCACTGCCCCGTCAACAGTCCTGGTCCTGTTACCGGTTCGTTGTCTTAATACCTGATAATGCTGATAGGCAACTGGTACACTTGTAACCTGATATAAGTCAAGGAGGCAGCAAAGTAGCCACGAACTTCTTAGCCTCATATATGCGTTACTTACCCATATGGTTTGTACTAAGGGTACATTCCGCTCTGGACATGTACTCTTAGAAAGTGTCCGAATCGATTGTGACGCGTACTTACATCATATGGTGCCATGTGTCCGAATGTCGGACCGCACGTGAATGTCGCAAACCGTATTTATCATTGAGTGACGTGAAAGACGGAACAATCGCGGGCTAATTGCTGGCCAGCGCGACACACACACCAGCCCTCGCACGCGGTGCCAAATGTCAATCAAGGCTGCATGTATCTGGTCATCATCCTACAGTCACTCACAAGATCGAGCAAGATGTGTGGGCCACTCACAAAGATAACCAATCAGATTCGAGCACGTATAATTGTCGCTCAGTCGTTCAGGGTCGCAGTACATTGCTCGATTGGGACATGAGGTTCCGAGAGAATTGAACGCGACTCGGGCAAAAAGTGATTCGGACACTTTCTAAGGGTACATGTCCAGAGCGGAATGTACCCTAAGAGTAATTGTGTTACTTACCCGTATGATTGGTACCGTAATACCCTGGATATAAACCCTTCCCCCAGTTGTAGAACCCCGGGTCTATGATACGGAAGGGGATACGCTGAATAGGTCGTTTTTTGTTATACCCCCCTAAATGAGGGCTAACATTATAGACCCCCCCCCCCCCCCTTTAGAGAAGAGGTTATTTTATAGCCAAGGAATGAATTTATGTTAGTTTTCCTACGGCTTTTCACAGCAAATCCCACAAATTGTTCATTAAGCCTTGTTAATTGTTAATTAACTGTGACTATTGCCATTCTTCGACAGTTACTTGGTTGCATTGCGTAACCTCTGATGCGGTTGTCGGTTGGTCAACAGTCACGACTGTTGACTTTCGGTGACTGTTGACCTTCGGGTGTCTCTCAAGCTACCGAGTACTCTGTGCGTGCATGTAGCGATACTGATACAGCAGCACTGCTTCGTTATGAGCTAGTGCGCTAGGAGAGATCCTTCGGGAATGCTGTACCTTTCGGTTATTCCAACAGTCCCCTTCATTCATGAAGATGAGCCACGTGGGATTTCTTTGAGATCACGCAGAGGTCGATGCAGTGCTGGAACTTTTGATGTGGCAGTTTCTTCGTCAGAAAATTGGCTGCCATGTCACCGGTTGGGCAGTACGTGAGTTTTACCCTCCCCTTGTCGATCTCGTCCTTGACGAAGAAGTAACGGAGTGCGATGTGCTTCGTGCGGTTCACGAACCCTGGCTTGTTCGCGATCTTGATCGCGCTCTGATTGTCGCAGAGTAACGTGAAGTGCCCGTTCATCGTCACCTTCGCTTCTTGCAGGAGCTCCATCAGGTACAGTCCTTCGCGAACAGCTGCGCTGGCGGCGATGAACTCAGCTTCGGCTGACGAAAGGGCGATGAGTTCCTGCTTCTGGGAATTCCAAGAGATGAGTCCGGCAGGTTGAAGCTGAAAGATGAATCCTGTGCGGGAGCATCTGTTGTCAGTGTCTCCAGCGTGGTTTGCGTCTACGTAGCCATAAAGCTGTAAGGTAGCGGTGAGGTTAGCTTCATAGGTGAGTCCGACGTCAGGGGTAGAGACGAAGTATTGAAGTGCTCGGCGTACGTCCAGTAGGTTCTCTCCCCTTCAGGTCGCTTCAGGTACTGTGCGAGCTGGCTTGCGACGTAGGAGAGATCCGGCCGGCACGTGACGGCGGCGAACAGGAGGCAGCCCAGCTGCTGCTGATAGAGCCGATGATTTTCGATGGAGAGCGGTGTGGTATCGGGTTCATGGTTAGGGGGAGGAGTGCGGAAGGGGGTGGTGAGGTTGATTGGCGCGATGATGAACTTCTTCGCAAGTGTTTCCGCATACTTGGCGGCGGGGAGGTGGATGGAGGTGGCGGACAGGGTGATGTTGAGGCCCAGAAACTGCGTGACATTGTGATTAACTGTCACTTCGAGCTTCTCCTTAATATCTGCCTCGAACCGATCCAGCAGCTCTGTGTCGTCGCCGGTGTAGAATAGATCGTCGACATAGGCGACGAGGAGAATGAATTTGCCGCGCGACTCCTTACTGTACATTCCGAGGTCATGTGGCACTTGCTTAAATCCGAGTTCCGTGAGTACTGCTGCCACAGTCGGGGTGCTTGTTTGATCCCATAGAGGGATTCCTGGAGGAGGCAGACGCCGCCGTCGGCCTCTTCGAAGGCGTGTGGCTGCTCGACGAAGATGATGGCGTCGACGGGAGCGTACAGGAATGCACTGCCGACATCGATTTGACAGAGTGGTCGCTGCTAAACGGCTGCGATGCAGATGAGGATGCGCACCGAGGTGTGTCGTTCGACAGACGCGTAAGTCAGGTCGAATTCCACCAGGTGAGTTTGTTCGAAGCCGCGGACGACCCATCTTGCCTTGTGCTAGTCAATGGAGCCATCCGCGAGAGTTTTAATGCGAAAAACCCACTTGCCGCTGAGAATTTCTCTCCCCTTCGCTGATGATTGTGAAACCAGCTTCCATGTTCCGCGTTTCTTCAGCGCCGCGACTTCAGCAGCCATGGCTGCTTTCCATTTCTCACTATCGGGGCCAGACAGGGCTTGGCGAACAGTGGTAGATTCCTTGGGGGAGGCGTGGCAAACTACGACAGCGAGCCCAAGGATGTGGAGACCAGTTTCGTTGGTCTTTTCGTAGTGGAGACGATCGTAATCGTGGAAGCTGGTAACCTCGACGACGTCGTCGTCGCTGTCGTGGCCGCTACGAATGGTGTCTTGCGAGGCGTTTGGAGCTGGTAACTCGGCATCCGGAGATCGGCGCGCTTCACTATTGTAGTTGTGGGCTTCTCGAGTTGTATCATCAGGATCGAATTGGGAGACAGGCATGAAGTTGGAGTATTGAGTGGTCGTGTAAGGGGATGTTGGGGGCGGTGTCAACTTGCGTGACATTGCTGCTGCGTTAGTGTCTTCCGCCAAGTCAACCTCGTCGTGTGAGGTGGCGAAGCTGCGGTGGCCTTCAAAACCCTTTCTAGTGCCTTGTCAGTTTCGCGGTGTTCCTTGAATAGTGGCAGTGTCAGCTTCTCGTAGAAGATGCAGTCACGTGATTTTGTCACTTCGTGTGTCGCGTAGTCCAGCACGATCCATGCATTGTATTCCCTTTCGATTCCGAGGTGGATGCCCCATCGTGCCCGGTCAGCAAATTTTCCCGTCCTTGCTGTGTATGGCCTGTACCGTACCATGCAGCCGAACTCTCGAAGCAAATGCGTGTCAGCTTTCTTGCCTGTCCAGGCCTTGTAAGGAGAGGTGTTGTTCTCGAGAATTCGGGAGGACAACAAGTTGTGCAGCCGAACAGCGTGGTTCATCGCAAACGGCCAATATTTGGTTGGGATGGCCGACTGCTTCATCAGGGCCCTCATCGTGGTAGCGACGCTCCTGTTTGTCCGTTCTGCTACTCCTTGCTGCTCGTGAGCGTAGGGCAGGGACACCAGGTGCTCAATCCCCGTGTGCTTGAAGAGTTCCTTGAACTTAGATGAGAAAAACTCCAAGCCACCGTCGGTCTGGTAGCTTTTCAGCTTCAGTCTAGATTGACGTTCGGCCCGCTTCATCCATGCCACGAAGCACTCGAAGGCGAGGGAGCGGCAACCAGTGTTTACGGCCTAGACGTAGCGTGTGCATGCGTCGATGAAGGTGAGCGTGTAGTACTTGCCGTCGAGCCCTTCTTGACTGAGAACCGTGAAGTCGCTATAGACTTTATCGAGTGGATTGTAGCGTTCGTGGCCAGGGGGTAGGTCAGGGAAGGGCTTGTGGGCAAGTGATGCGGCGGGGCACACGGTACACGACGGATCTGCTGAGTCCGCTGTGAGACATCCTCCGCGAGGGAGAAGCAGTGCGCCTTCGTCGAAGACTCCGGCCTTGAGTGAGTTTTTGAGTGTAACGTGTGAAGGGTGGCCAAGTCGTTGATGCCATATATCCGGCTCTGCGCGATAACCAATGGTCCTCTGATAGTTTTGTTTCTTTCGGCTGCGTCGTTCTGCTCCTTTCCAGGTCCCTTGTCGCTGACAGCATCGGCGTCTGTTGCGAAGGCTCGAACGGAGATGTGTTTCAGGGCCACGTCCGGAAGTCCGATGATGTCGTCCGTGTCTCCGGCGTGAACGGGATCGCCTGTGACGAGCAGCTGTGGAAAGGATGCTGCCTCCAGCCACTTGGAAGCTGGGAGTCCTTTCATAGGGTTGCGGTGATAACTGTATTCGTCACCGATGACCTCGATCTGCTGCGGCCCCTTGTTCTGGGCGGCGGCCCCCTCGGTAGGTTCAGGAAGTTCCCTTCCCGAAGAACTCCCCGGGTCTTATAGAACACCCAACCCCCCCCCCCCCCCCCCCCCCCCCCCCCCCCCCCCCCCCCCCCCCCCCCACCCCCCCACTTACCCCCCATTTTAGGGGTGTGATTTTTATAATACCCCCAGGTCTTTTATCTAGGGTATTTCTGTTAGGCCCGCTGGCCTAAGTCCGCTAAGGAATTAGCGGGGTCGACTAAGTCGAGGATGAACGCGGTGGAAGACTTTGACGAAAGAACTACTAGCGAAATAGGCGAAGGAGTTACTGAGTAATTGAAGAAGAGTT